TTTATTATTATTATTTTCATTAAAATAAAATAAATTAAATTAAATTCTATTAATACTAAATTATATTTATATAGAATAAAATAATATAATAATAAAAAAAAAATGAGAAATTTTTTTGGGTGTCTCATTTTTACCTTTGTCAAAATTCAAAAATAAATTTTATTAATTTCACCTCAAAGTAGTCATTTTTTTTTTTCAGGATTTTGTCAGATTTTATCCAAAAATTTGTTCTTTGTCTAAATATTAGGCATGAATTAAGCATTACGGAGCATAAGAAACTCGTCAATTAAGCTTTAGAAATTAAAGAAAGACTATGTTACTCGCAAGGCTAATAAGTTTCAATTATTCAAGGGTCTGCTATACTATATGTATAGCCTACATATGTGTGTGTATATATATATATATATATTGAGAGAGAGAAAGAGAGACATCAATGTATGTAAATATTATATATGAAGAACTAGATTTCAGTATATACGCCTGCAGATTGTGATCCCATCACCTAGTGGGACGTGGGAAATTTGGACACGTGGATCAGATGCGAGAAATTTATTAAGCTCCATTGTTGGCTGCCTGCCCTCTCTCAGGACCTCTGGAGCAGATTCTTCAGGCATGGCGACTGTCCCTCCCCACAGGGTATTATCATACACAATCACGCCACCAATCTTTACTAACTTCATCAGCTTCTCATGGTAATTGCAGTAATTTGGCTTGTCAGCATCAACAAATGCAAAGTCAAAACTCCCTTCATTTGCATCCTGCTAATTAAATACAAATCCTCATGAGTATTGTAATAACCCTACCTAACATCTCTACTACAATATTTCACACACATATATACACACGAAAAATATTGGTTAACTTAATTTGAAGATGATGATCGTTACTTACATCCTGTAGCAGCTGATCTAGAATGGGTAGGGCTTTGGATTCTCTGAAATCAATTTTATGCTCAACACCAGCTTTCTTGATAACCGGTAATCCTATTTCATATGTTTCGCTATCCATATCAATGGCTATAATCTGTAAATTTGCATGTATATGCCACATAATATTCATTAAACAAAAACAACCTGTATGAAAGATTCATGTCAAAGTATTTAAAACACTTCACATACAAGATTCTGTATTTAACAAATGTGAATATGATGAGTCTAGTAATATTAGTATTATAGTTTTTGATAGGCATACCTTGCCATCATCAGGAATTGTAAGAGCAGTGAGCAAGAGAGAGTATCCAGTAAAAACTCCCACTTCAATTGTCTTCTTTGCATTTACTAAGTTTAAGAGTATCGTCATTAACTGGCCTGCATCAGGTGCAGTAGCCATGATTGACCTGAAGGATGGTAAGAGAATCAAACATTAATATTTTGATATCTTAAAAATGTATGGGAATAAAAATGATCAAATTCCCTGTACTTAAAGATCCAAATAGGGATATGGTGTAAATGAGGTAAAACAACTATTGCCTTCTCCACATAGTATCTAATAGAATTGTTTGAGTTTTAAGTCTATCATTTATTGTCCTAGATAACATTTCTAAGGAGATCTTTTGGACACTGCAAAGATGAATCTTTGTGTCTTCACTTCATAGCCTTCATACTGTTTTTCATGATTCATGATTCACAATTTCAAGATTTTTGCTTTTCATAATATTAATCTTTAAATATGTATCAAATGAAAACCCAAAATTTAGTCATCTAATTCCAGAGTTTCTAAAGAAGTTAGCCAACATAATGTGTAAAAATTTGATTGCATTACCTCGGATGGCTAGCAGTAAGTTCTCTAATCTCCTTCAAAGGTTGTGGCTCACGTGGATATACACTAGTCTCCAAGAGATACTGTTACGTATTAAGAAACATTATATTGAAAGATAATCTTAGTATTTTCTTTAAAAGGTTATTTTATAAAAATTATAGATTTATTTGTATACTCATTTATAACATGAAACATTAAAAAATTTAACAGCGGAAGCCTAAACAAAGTACTGAGAGAATATACTTATACCGTGTACAATTCTTCAGTGCGTAGCAATCCTTTAGAGACAGGAACTTTATTTGTACTTGTATTATATTCCATCACCTAAAAATATGTAAAGTGAGTTTAAAGTGGGCAAATTTTGTAAACAATTACAATGAATTGAGTCCTCAATCTTGATAACAGGAATGGGTGTAGAATTAAGGCTGGTTCCTAAAATTGCAAAATGCTTTCCGATCCACAACAAACAAAATTTCATGTTGTTTCATAAATATTAACCGCATCAAAAACCTTTGAATTAAATGATGCAATTAACCCACTTAAATGCACATGAAATGCCATTATTAATTGGAGAGTTTCCAAATATTTAAAAACTTAAAAAATATTTTCAGTTTAAACCATACCTCAAGTTTTTTATTATATACCCTCCCATGCCTGTATCTTATTCTTATCCAAAAATGTGAGGACGCATATCACTTTCTTGTTTTCTCGAAAATTACTAAAAAATTTTTAACTGACTGGAATCCTTTATTTTGTCTCTTTTTTTTGAAATAAATCCTCTATTTTGTCTCTTGAAACGAATAAATATAGTTAACCACCTCAGTAAATCAGAAGGGCTGTATTCTGTTGTAAAAATTCAAAAACATGACTTTATTCAACATTTTCTTCTTTTAGGACAACTGATTCGCCATGGTTTCTCATACATCTCAACCACCTGCTCATCTTCGTATCGTAAAACTATTCACATTGCAGGATAAATGTCTATAAATCTACCAGAAACCAAAGAAAAAGTAAGTTCAGAGAGTGTAAAATAGTTAAGGCTAAAGAGAATATTGGAGCTTGGGAAATCATCTTTAACTACACAGTAAATGATTTAGTTTAAGCAGAAATTCTTCCTAGTTTACACAGCTCCTTTTCTCCACCAACTTGTTTTAAGCTGCAGGCCACGCTTTCCATTAGCTTAAGGTCTTTTCAACAAGGTCCCCACTTTTTTGCTAGACCAACAAGGCACTGGAACAACTATGATCTACCTTAAACTTGAATCCCCAAGTAAGGGTATCGTGCCAACTGAGGCAAATATCAAATAATAGAAGCTGAAGAATAGCAAGATAATTAGACTTCTTTTGCCAAGTGATACAAAGTACTAGACTGTCTTCACCAACTTGTTTTATACCTCAGACCATAAATTCCATCAGCTGAAGATCCTTTCGACAAGGTCCCATTTTCTTGCTAGGGTAACAGGCTAGGGGGACAAGGATGGTCTATCCCCAAACTTGAAGATCCAAATAAGAGTACTGTGCCCAGGCAAACAGCTCTGGCCCTTTCAACAAGGTACTAATAAAATGTTTTAGTTCTAATCCATCATCTGCTGTCATAGACGCCATTTTTTCATGGGTTATTTGGAAATTGGAAAGATGAATCTATATCCTTTACTCCAACATTTTGTTTTTTTTTTCTTCATGATTGATGATTCACAATTTCAAATTTCTTCATTTTTACATATTCCAAACTTTTCACTACCTTAAATGTCTATCAAATGAGAACAGAAATTAAGTCATATTGTTCAACAGTTCACGATAAACAAATTAGTCAAATACAATATAAAAGTTTGATTACATTCGAGAGTCCAAACATGATCAATCACACAAAAAAACAAAAAAAAAATAAAAATTAAAGCAGTAGAAACCAAAATGGAATGTTAGAGAATAGAATCACCTTGTGTGAGTCTTCAGCATGCAATAACCCCTTGGAAACACTTGCTGTACTTGGGTTGCTTCCCATCTGAATTTCGAACGTCTCAGAAGACAAGTATGTAAAATCTGCGGAAAGTAGCCAGCTTTTATAGCCAGCCAAAATGAATCCAATAGTCGATCTTGATAGTAAGGTTTGGAAGCATTAAAAGCTGTTTCCTGTAAATGAAAATGGACTCCGACCGTCTAGAGCTTCCCCTTTCCTTTCTTCACCTCCTTCTTACTCACTCTCTTTTTAATTTTTACCTCCTCCGTCAGTTTTAATTTTAATAAATTTTCCTATTGTATTTGCTTAGCTTGCCATGTCGCACTCTGCTTTCTATTCTAGTCTACTTTGTTTCTTAGCCGTTGGATTGAAAATTGTGAGAAAACTCCGATTGATTTGGGTATTTTGCCTAATTTGTTGCCGTTCGTTCCTTTTAAGAACAAGCACTAATTTGGAGTAGAGTATTAGCAAGGAGTTAATAAGAGGAAGGAATCCTCATCTCTTGTCACTAAAAATATAAAATTTGCATTCTATTTATACCCAAAATTGCTAGAAAATTATTTATTATCATTCCATCATAAGTAACATTTATCTATTTTTTTTTAAATTTTATAAAATATTTAGATAAATAATTAAAATTAATCGTTAATCAAAATAAAATAATATTTATACATAATCTAATTAATAAATAATATATAATATAGATATTCATTATTCTAAAATTTGATTAACATTAATATAATTAACCATACATAATTGAAGAAAACACCGCAAGTATATCATTAGATCTATACACGCTCTATAGTTGGCTTAGAATCTATTAGTTACTAAATTTTTACTCATCTCTTTATAGAATGCAGGCTAAATATAATATTCGGTCCCAAATTGGGTT